CTGCGTTACTTTGATAACATACACCCACCAGGGGCGTATTAAAACATACACAACTCTTAGGTTGCTAAGCACAAGCATGCACAATCAATCATGAAAAATACCTCAATCATTGAATTAAACAATACCCAATGACAATCATTCAATTCACATAAAAGAAACTACATGGTAGAGTTAGGGTTTCACAACACCCAAGTGAAAGGAGATCTACTCCATGCTAGACATGGGGAAAACACAAAGAGAAGAAGAGGAAACCATCTTGGAGGATGCTCCTAATCTCCTTCGCCATTGTGCTGAGCTTTCCTTAGAGGAAATCTTCCCAAAAACCACCTTGAAGCAAAACCCTAGCCTTCTTCTTCCTTGGTTCGTGTTTCTCTCTCTAGAAATCTGAAGAAGACTTTTCACACAAAGTGGGCTCTCCCCTCTCTCCTCCTTTCAGCTCAGCATTTAAACCAGAGACGAGCTCAGTTCACGGATGTGAACCACGAAATGCGTCCACGAACTGCAGGCGTGCGCCAAAATGCGCCAATTCGATCTCTTCTGTTCACGGTCAACAGCCTTCGTTCACAGTCTTAGCATCCGTGAACTCACTTTGGGTTAGTAACCTCTGTTTTGGCTCTGGACGCCAAGCAATTCACGGTCAATGGCTCTTCTTCACGGCCATGCAAGACTGTGAACTTCCTTGGATGGTCGTGAACTGGCCCCTTTTCACCTCTTATCCCGGATTTCGATCCTTTTCGCCCAACTTTCGACTCCGACGCTGGTTTCACCTGTTAAATCCTGAAACACACTAAAACACGAGGAACCTAGCGTAAAACCAACCTTTTAGGAGTGAATATGGCACAAACACCTAAGTAAAACGGGGTCAAAACATGTATAATTAGGCCCGAATCAGAAATACCATCCAGATCATCACTGGTGACGATCATGTCATCAACATATAGCAGAAGAACAGCCCGACCGTGAGGAGTAGTGCGAGTGAAGAGGGACGAATCATTGCGACTTTGATGGAACCCAAAACGCAAAATAGTCTGCTGGAATTTCTCAAATTAACCAGGCTCGGGGAGCTTGTTTGAGACCCTATAGAGAGCGATGAAGTAAGCAGACCTTCCCCGGAGAACTATCAGGATGCCCTGGCGGAATCTCCATGTAAACAACTTCCTTCAAGTCACCATGAAGGAAGGAATTCTTGATGTCAAACTGGAATAATGGCCAATTAAGAATAGCAGCAACCGCAAGAAGAGTATGCACAGTGGGCATCTTAGCGACCGGCAAAAGTCTCATCAAAATCAACGCCATATTCCTACGTAAATCCCTGAGCAACCAAACGAGCCCGAAATCGTTCCAAGCTGCCATCTGGATGATACTTCACCGTGTAAACCCAACGACAACCCACCACAGGAGTGGGAGGAGGGGGGATCAACAATCGACCAGGTATGGTTCTAGTCAAGTGCAGTAAACTCCTCGTCCATGGCAGCTCGCCGCCGAGGATCCTCCTTTGCATGCGAATCATGGGAGGGAATGGAAATAGCAATAGCACTGTGAGCATGGCAGTCGGTGGTTGCCCAAAATTCGCACGAGTCGATTTGCGAGTGGTAGTCGGTGGAGGAGAGCTCTCGGCCGAGCTGGAAGACGAGCCAGGTAACTCCTCGGACGAGCCATGCGATGAGCCGGAGGAGGAACCGGTCGAGGCGGGGGAATCGGGAGGCATCTCAGGAGGGGTTCTTCATCCTGTTCATCATCATCTTCAAAAACAGGAACTCGAGTCGAGGAGAACAGTGGCGGATCGGAGGAACTAGACAATGACTCATAGAACATAACGTTTTTAAGGAAATAACATGACACGAAATACGAATACGATGAACAGAAGGGTCAAAACACAAATAACCCTTGTGGATGTCACTATACCCAAGAAAGACACAACGAGACATTTTAGAAGACAGTTTATCACGCTCATGACGAGGAAGAAGAACAAAACAAAGACAGCCAAACATGCGGTGGCGCGCATAAGGAGGATGAGAAGAATAAAGGGCATAGTACGGACTAACATTTTGTAAAACAGGTGTTACTTGGTAATTGGTCAGACAAATGGCAGTGGCCACTACTTCAGGCTAGAACCAAGATGGAACGGAGGATGCAAGCAGTTGAGCTCAAGTAAGCTCAACAGAATGGCAATTTTTGCGCTCCACTACCCCATTCTGCTGCGAGACAAAAGGGCAGGACTTTTGATAAAGGATGCCATGGGTTTTTTAGTAGGCCAGAAGTGGGATGGAGCTAAACTCCCCTCCAGGATACTATCAAAGCATTTTGACGTTCCTTCCAAACTGGCTACGAACCACGGTGAGAAACTCAACAACAACATCATATGACTCGGATTTTAAGTGAAGGAAATAAACCCAAGTATAACGAGTAGCATGATCGATGAAGATAGAAAAATATTTATAGCCATTGCGAGATGCATCAAAAGCCGCTCACCAGAGGTCTGTATGTATTAGATGAAAAGGATCGAAAATAACCGTTGTACTAGATGGGAATGAAATACTCTTGGGCCTTTGCCTTAACACACCAAGAACAAGATGGAGAACGGAAGGAAGAACTGTTTTATCACCAAATAACTTTTGTTTAAACATATGTTGTAACCGATGAGAATTGGGATGGCCTAACCGACGATGCCATAGAAGCCACTGACTATTTGACTCATCAGACAAAATGACAGGCGAGACACTAGGAAAATGAGACTCACTAGGCACATAAGTACTAGCAACATACCGAACAACAGACGACGAAGCTCGACTCGACAATTCTTCCAAGGTGAAGGTGCGGCCACATTTATTCGACCTTCCAATCAGCCTCCCCGTTGTCAGGTCCTGCACAAAACACCCCATAGGTGCGAACAAAACCAAACAGTTCTCATCAGTAAGTTCTCCCACAGAGGCTAGATTGGGATATAACTTAGGGACATGTAGAACATTATTAAACCGAACACGAGCATGAGCCAAGGAGCCCACGCCGGACATAAGAAGATGAGAACCATTCGCCACTTGAAGCTGAATTTCTTAATTGGTGTAACACCATGCAACGACTGGGAATCACTAGTCATGTGATTAAAACAAGCAGAATCGAGCAACCAAGGTTTAGCTTTACCTGAGACCTGAAGGGCCGCAAACGCGGAGTTGATAGCTGCAGGGATGGATTTCTAAATGGCTGAATGAATCATCTTATCAACGTTTCAGCCGGCAATGATGAACCAACCAAGCTGGCAGGTTGGGCAGCAAAGGCAGGCGGAGCAGATGGAGCAGGCCGAGGCGGAGGGTTGTAGTCAGAGTGCCCACCAGCAAAGGCCCCAACAGCAACATACATGGTGCGGTTCTTCAGAGTGCGGCAATCGCTGATGATGTCATGGATTGTTTACAATAAAAGCATAAATTAAGTTTGCGGTAGTGCTTTTGAAAATGGCCCTTCTCATCACAAAAGATGCAGGTAAACTTCGAGGCCGGACGACGCTGAAATTGAGCATGTTGCGCGGCGTATGTAGAGGAATCGAATTCGGGAACGCGATTTGCCGAGAAAAAAGTCTCACCGGCAGCAGGACGAGCATCAATCTGCTCTTGAGCAAGGAGGCAAGTCTCTTCCTAAAGTAATCTACCCAAAACCCTGTCAAATAGAAGATTATCTTGGTTAAGAAGAGAAGATCTTACAGACTCAAACTCTGGACGAACTTTAATGAGGAAGCGCATCAGACGGGAGCGAGTGCGATCGACGTGCACTTCGGCGGTGACCTGTGCATGACTGAGCGACGCGAGGAGAAGGTCTTCTTCGTTCCATAGACGAACCAAGTCGTTATAGTATGTTAGAAACAAAGTTTCTAACGGTTGTAGAATTGGGGAAATTAGCTAGATCAATTAGGGATTGATCAAGCTAGGGATTGGGAATAGAGATTTTAGGAAGAAGAGAGGGGAAAAGAGGGCTGCTGCCGATCAGCCAAGGAGGAAGAGGGAGAAGAGAGTTCGGCGATGGGAGAGAGAGAGAGAGAGAGATTAGGTTTTAGGTTTTTCTGTAATTGATTGCTTAATGACAAAATAACTCCTACTGCAGATTATATAATCCGCAAAGTACCTAACTGCTACCCATATAATAAAAATACCCCAAATGATCCCCCAATTATCAAAACCGACAATAATACGAAATAATGAAAAGCTGTAAATTGTTTGTTTCTAACATCCCCGCCTCCTTGGGAAGCAACCTTGTCCTCAAGGTTGCGGCTTCTCTTGCTCTGCTCCGGGTTCCTCCGCCATCTCATCCTCCGCCTCGTCTTCCCATCGTCCCACCAAGAACATCAAGTCAGGCTTCCCGCACTTGTGACCAAAGGTAAACCGCTCGTCACAGTTGAAACACTTCCCTTCTCGCCTCTTCTTCTCGATCTCTGCGGGAGACAACGTCCTAAATCCCTTGGGTGGTGGCCTCGGTCCCGCTCGAATGACAGCCGAAGGTGGGCCAGCCGCCGCACCCCCTCCCGAACTAGGGCCCGAGGTAGCTGCACTCGCCCCGCCGCTCGCGCTGCTACCACCGCCTCCTCCTCCGGCCGGCTTCTGATAGCGGCCTATCACGCCCCGCCAGCTAGCCAGCTCCTCCTTCTTGTTACCTGCAAGACGGAAAACAGCTCGAAGAGAATCGGGCTCAAATACCCGAACAGCCGCTGCAATCTCAGGGCGGAGTCCCGCCATGCACAGACCCACCAATGTCTCCTCCGGTACGCCCTTGCACTGGTTACCCAGTTTGAAGAACTCAGCTCGATACTCCGCCACTGTCCCAGTCTGGCGCAGCTTCGCCAACTGCTCCGGGGCCCACCCTTCCGACTTGCCGAACTGATACCTCAACTCCTCCTTGAACATCGGCCAAGTAATCAGCGTCCGAGCTTCAGCATAGGTCCGCTCCATCCATTCCCACCACTGTAGTGCATCCCCCTCTAAATAGAAAGATGCCAACTGAGCCTTTCGTTCCTCTCTAGTGGGATGGTTCTTGAACCACCGTTCTGTGGAGTATATCCACAGACCTGCATCTTCCCTGCCATTGAATTTTGGGAACTCAATGGTAGGAGGCTTAGCTCGGAACACCATTTCATCTTCTGCCTCACCCCCGCGGTAATAACCGGCGTGCCTCCCATATCCCGGTGCCTCACCATGACAATACTGCGGAAATCGAGGTCCCCCTTCATACTCCCACTCACCTTCCTCCTCCTCTTGATGCCCCCTTCCTCGGCCCATCTCATTTCTCTGCCTCTGATCACCTGTTCCTGATCCCATGAATTCCCTACCAGTGCCTTGCTGATTCACAAACGGAGGTTGATTGCCACTAGTCTCATCAAACTGACCTTGGCGAGCCGGAAAGCCCCTGCTGCCCGTTCCCCCTGTGCGCGCCAGCTGCTGCCCTGGTTCGGCCCTGGTTCGAACGGGTTCGGTCCGACCGGGTTCGGTCCGACCGGGTTCGACCCGACCGCTTGGGCCCCTGCTCGACCCAACTCTGCCCGCATGCTCGGCCCGGCCCGCGGGTCCCCGGCCCATGAAGCTCGGCCGACCCACCTCCCAGCCGCGGCCTGTTTCTCGCCGCTTCCCAACTGGTCCACCTTCCATCCCAGCTCGGCCCATATGGCTTCCTTCATCCCTGCTATAGTCCTCCCCGGGCCCATTCAACTCATTGGGCCACGGCTCGTGATCATACTCCTGCTCCAAGCCCATCAATTCTTCTTCATCCAAGCCCGCCTGCAGATCCGGTTCCACGTACTCGGCCATCTTGGCCTTGCCTCGCACGCGCGCCCTCTCCTGGGCCGATGGTGTCGGTAGTAGCCCATCCTTGACCGGTGGCCCGAAGGTGACTTGGCCCGTACGCGACCCGGTAGGTCGGCTAGGGTTGCCCGCCGCCCCTCCCGTCTCGCCTGAACCGCCCGCCCCCTTGGCCTCCGGAAGCCGCGCGGTCCCCCTGTCCGCCGAGCTCCACCACCACGGCGGCGCTCTTCCCTTCCGGCGGCTGGTCGCCTCCACCAACTCCATTCCCGCCCTTCCTCCAGGCCTCCGTCAGGCCGCTCACCTGTCCCACCAGGGCTTCCACCGCTGCCGTCAAGGCCTCGATGGTGCGGTTGTGCTCCCTAGCCCTCTCCTGCAACTCTCACAACTCCTCCTCCACCCGCGCCTGCCTCCTCGCCTGCGCCTCCAGGTCTCTCCTCAGTTCCTCAATGCCGGTCAGATCCTCCACAGCCCCATCGACCCCATCGTCTCCTGCATCGGCGCCCCTGTCACCCGCCTGATTCGCCTTCTCCGCTTTCTCTGCTGCCTTCATGTATTTCGTCGTTACCATCGTTGATTCTCCGGTTTCTAAGCTGTTCCTGATGGAGTTGGGAAGAACTCACTGATCGGAACCGGGCTCTGATACCAGATGTTAGAAACAAAGTTTCTAACGGTTGTAGAATTGGGGAAATTAGCTAGATCAATTAGGGATTGATCAAGCTAGGGATTGGGAATAGAGATTTTAGGAAGAAGAGAGGGGAAAAGAGGGCTGCTGCCGATCAGCCAAGGAGGAAGAGGGAGAAGAGAGTTCGGCGATGGGAGAGAGAGAGAGAGAGAGATTAGGTTTTAGGTTTTTCTGTAATTGATTGCTTAATGATAAAATAACTCCTACTGCAGATTATATAATCCGCAAAGTACCTAACTGCTACCCATATAATAAAAATACCCCAAATGATCCCCCAATTATCAAAACCGACAATAATACGAAATAATGAAAAGCTGTAAATTGTTTGTTTCTAACATAGTAGGCGGAGATATCATGATCTCCTTGCTTCAACGCGGCAAGCTCGGTTTGGAGGGAGAATTGCGAGCAGTGTTGTGAATGGTGTAGGTGGCAGCGAGATGGGACCACATCTCGTGAGCATTCGAGAACAATCAAAGCCCGAGCACAATCGAGGGATCCACAGAGCCTAGGATCCATGTCTTCACACGAGCGTCCACCATTCAAGAGCCTACTCGGTATCAGGGGGAACCATAGGCTTCTTCGATGTACCATCATGGATCGACAAAAGACCCTTGCCTTCAACAAAAATATGGAATTTGAATTCCCAGACAACATAATTCTTCGGACCGAGACGAATAATGAGGCGATCAGAATCGTCTGGCAATGGCTCTGATACCATGTTAGACATACTGAACAAAATCAAGAACGGAACAACCAACTTACGTGGTAACCCTGATTGATCTGGACTAGTCCACGGGTAGGGATGGCAAAAATATCCGTAACCGTGGATATCCGCCCGAATCCGGCCTAGTCGGATAGGGTAAAATCCGAACCCAAAGGACATTTAGTGGGTACGGGTAAAACCCGAACCCGAATATTGCGGGTAATGTGTGGGCATGGATTTCTCACTATCCGACCCGAACCCGCCCGATTATACACATGCATATGTATTTTGTCTAGAAATAATCATTATTTTTCTCTAACATATTTTATATTTAGCATATAAATATAACATTTTCATGAAATTGTGTTGTTTTAGTTAATTTTCTTCATTCTAGTGAATTCTTGTCGTACTTTTTCTCTTACTTAATATAAGAATACGTGTGAATGTTAACATATTGGTTGGAGTTATGAAGAAAAATTAATATCCATGGATAACCGTGGATACCCGAAACCTGAACGGGCATGGGCATGGTTTTGATTTTATACCCGTTTTACATGTGGGTATAGGTATGGGTAAAACTCGAAGTACTTTGGGTAGGGTAACGGATATGCACTATCCGCCCCCGACCCGACCCATTGCCATCCCTATCCACGGGTGAGGAGAGCCTTAAGACTCTCCGGCTACTGATCGTATTATCTGAGTGTAGCTTCACCGTACATGTACATATATATCGGTATACAAGGAAAAGGGGAAGAACCGAGAGTGACCTAACCCTAACCCTTACATACGTCAGCCCTAGTGCATGCATGGGCTGAACTTGCTTACGGCCTACAAAACATATATATGTACAAAGCCTCATGGGCTCTAACACCATCAACATGAAATTTAGAATTACTACAGGAATAGGAAACTTATTATCTGATCCTTTTATGTACAAATGGTTTGATGGTAAGCTTCAATATATAATCTCCGCCATACCAAATAGTACATATATGTTGTTGATCGCCCGTAACTATCACGGGAAAAATAGGCAAGGGTACCTATCGTTCTAAGGTAGTATAGCAGGAAGCAAGGCGTTGTCCCGTAAGTGAATCCCCCTAATATGCATTTTATAGACAAGTTGAATTTAACATAGACGAGTGTTAAAATCTTAGACTGTGAAAATTACCAATTTAGTGTTAACCCGTTCGCACATGTATTAACACCCTTTTGACTTAAGAATCAAGTGAAACCGTGGCTTACAAAAATCTTAAACCAAAGCAATAACCAGATTTATGAACTTTCGTATTAGGTTTTTAAGCTAATCCAGAGGAACTACGTGACCCCTTCGCCGGTGGCTCCGATCAATTCCTTCTTTTCACGAGGGATCTAACATGAAAAATTACCTTGCAGTCTCATTTACATGTATCAGACAAAATATACAATAGACGCGTACTATTGATACTTGCACATGATAAGTCGAGAAAAGATCGTAAGAACGAGAACAACACGTCTATATCAAAGATACCACTCAATCAAAGTAAAACATATTAGGGTTCATCAAATCCGGGTTTGACTCTGCAGTTTGCGATTTGACTCTCTTGATATGATCTCACCTGGATCAGTTCCTAGTCTCCAATCGATGGACAAAGAATCCTACTCAATTCCTTTAGCTAACTCTGAATTTTTGTTAAGTGTTACTACAGTTTCAGGTAGGTCACTTTGCGAGCTCGTCCCTTACAAATGGCTCGATGGAAATGGGGAATTGAAGGCTAGTTTGAAGGATGGGATAACCCTCTACAACGGGACATGCTTGGATGCTCGAGAGGAAGCCGGGAAGATCGATTTTCGAGCTGCTCAAAACGCTATGCTGAATCTGGAAAACTGCCAGGAATTCTCCAAGTCTGGCAGACAGCTTGGACACCAACTTTTGGAGCTTGGTTCGATTGGTTTGAAGGAGAATCGAGTTTCACAAAGGCAACCACAAGAAAGTAAAATTTTCATAGAGCAACGTAGGGGCATTGGTTGATCAAAACCATACTTTGAAGGCTTCCGACGAAGGCGAGCAAGATCGTATGGAAGCTGCCGAGAAGACTGTCTTGCAAGGGAAATCCGAATCCGTTTCGGACTAGGATTGTGTCTAAGTGTTTTCTTTTTTTCTGTTTGAAGTCTATTTCCTTGTTGTTTGAGAATTGGTTTTCCGTTTTAAGCTTGTTAAGTTACGTAGGTCTATTTAAGGTTGATGAATCACGTTGTAAAACTCAGATTTTATTGATTGGAATACAAACCCGAGTTTGGTTCACAAAGCTTGTGCTTCGTGAGTTTGAGAGTTGTTTAGGAAGAGTTCTAAGCAGCTTGAGTGCTTGTATCGCTCAGCTATTCACGCTGATCGTGGCCAGGCTTCGATTTATCTATTTCGAGTCTTTCCCCGTTGTGTGGAATTACACGAAATCGACCATCCACCCACCTACAAACCCCCTGTTTTGCTCGAGTTCTTGGAATTGAGCAAGCTCAATTCGTGCTGCGCTATTCTGGAAACTAAAGTCCTATCAAGGGCCTCATCAAGTGGTAATCAGAGCCCAGTTTGTACACAGTGGACAAAACGGAAGACGTTGCCGAAACTACTCGTTGGACAAGATCAAAAGGCCCTGTTTCGGCAGACCCAGCAGTGCTACTTTCGGAACAAAAGAAGAAGAAGGAGAAGACCAACACAGGAGCTCCAATGGGGGATCCCAACAGGGAGGATCCCATAGCATTGATTCAGGCGACTCTTGCCCAGATGAATGCCTCTTTTCAGCTGCAGCTGGATCATTTCACTCGGCGACTTGACGAGATGAAGCCACCGGACAGAGAAGCAGGGGAAGAAACAGTCGCGACCCAGGCAGTTCAAAACGACCCAAATAACGCCAATCACGCTTTAGATGAGAGGCTACGAAATCTTGAGCGACAATTAATCACCACTGAAGGCGATCCGAGCCCTCGCAATCGAGGCAATCGGGACTTTGGCCGGAGAAACAATGGAGCAGAGTTCGACGGTTCAGTCACAGAACTGCGAGGAATTAAATTGGCAATTCCCTCTTTTCAAGGAACTAACAGTGCAACAGCGTATTTAGATTGGGAATGGAAGATCCTGTTATTCTTCCAATGTGGCAACTATACTGAACAACAGAAGGTTCTGCTTGCAGTCTACGAATTCTCCGATTACGCAGCAACATGGTGGGAACAGGTTCAGATGAGAAGGCGGCGCAATCTTCAGCCTCTAGTTACCACATGGGACGAACTAAGGACATTAATGCGTGATCGATTCATTCCTGGGTACTATCAAAGGGAGCTCTTCGATTCCCTTCAATCACTTCGACAAGGAACCAAAACAGTTGATGAATACTTCAAGGAACTCGAGATGCTTCTGCTACGAGCTGATGTACGAGAGGACCGGGAATCCACCATTGCCAGATTCCTACATGGGCTGAATCGAGACATCAGGCAGGAGTTAGAGCTCAGGCAATTCGTTGAGCTAGAGGAAGCTGTGCATTTGGCGATCAAAATCGAGAAGCAAGCCAAGGCCAGGAGGTTTTCCAGCCGAAGTATACCAGAGAACTCCTTGGAGTTAAACCCAACACCAATTCGGAATGAGATTCCCAAGCTTGCTCCCAAGCAGGTGACTCCAGCATACCAAGCCAAGTTTGAAGGATCCTCAAGTTCAATTCAATGCTTCAAGTGTCAAGGTCGCGAGCACAAGCCAAGCCAATGTGCAAACGTGAAGACCCTGATAATTCGAGATGGTGAATATGTGTCTGAGGAAGAGAAGAGCTCGGAAGGAGAAGAGGTAGTTGAGGAGCTTGAAATGGAGACCCCTCCTCCTCCCGGAAACCTCATCGGTGTAAATTGAAGGGCACTCACCATTGAGGTTCATTCAAACTCGGAACAGAGGGAAAACCTCTTTCATACACGATGCAGCGTCAAGGGAAACTTGCTGTCCCTCGTCATAGATGGTGGGAGCTGTACAAATGTAGTAAGCTCTGACATCGTCAAGAAACTCGGGTTGACTACTAGCAAACATCCTGAACCATATACCTTACATTGGCTGAATGATTACGGAGCCATTAAGGTCAACAAGCAGGCTAGAATTCCGTTTGCAATTGGGCGCTATGAAGATGAAATTCAATTTGATGTGGCGCCAATGCAGGCTGCTCATCTGCTGCTTGGCCGTCCCTGGCAATTTGATCGAGGGGTATGCCATGACGGAGGAA